TATATATATATATATATATATATATATATATATATATATATTGTATACCCCACACACTTTTTCCTTCTTCTGGCACCTTCTTTTTGACTATATAGCCAATGTGACAAGTACATTTCTCCACTCTGAGATCAATAAAAAATATCTTATCTTAGCTGCTTCTTTTTCTGTTTATTTTTTTACTTTAACTAATTGTTTTGTTTATCAGTCAACAAATACACACCATCTTGAGATGTAATGTGATTAAACATGTGATGCAGTGCATCTCATTATATTTAATCAATGAATTCCAAACTCTGTCTTTAGGAATTCTTGCAGACTGTTTTTGCTTTGTTTGCTTAACACAGGTGCTTAGTGAGGGAATGAGAGTTTCACCACCATGTGTGCCAGGTATAGATTTAAGTGTCAAACAAATCTGATGGCTGAAAGGTCAGCTGCTCGCTGCTGTTGCATTTTCAAAAGAACATTGTAATACTGTAAACCATTAACACAAATCTTTTTTGTTAATGTTAATCCGGCCTTACAATCGTTGCAGAAAGGGACATTTTACAAAGTAAAAGACAATACTACAGCACTGCAGTGTTATTCACCCAAAACCTCCAGCTGATCAGAATTATTTCTTAACTATTGTTTGCCATTTAGAATAGTCGTTTTATGATGCAGTTAGTTAAAAAACATTGTATGTTTTTACTGTTTTGGGACAGAGTCCCAGAAGTACATGAATAGATTTATAGGAGTAAAAATAAAATATGTACGGTGGCCCTGAAGTGCAAACTGCAACTACAAATCTAAAAGCGCAACTACATTAATGAAATCGCAACTACATAAAGCAAAGCGCAACTACATTAAGGAAAACAAAAATCGCAACTGGAAGTCATTCTGCCTGCTGTGGCTTTTGAAAACATGGATATTGTCGGCGCCCCAAACATAGCTGCCATTATTCAGGAATATTTTGAAACAGGACATACGTACGAGGTGATACTGGATATTCTCAAGACTAATCACGAAATTTCAGTTAGTTTGCGTACACTGAAGACACACTTAAAAGAAGATGGACTGTTCAGACGACACAACTTCCGGTTCAAGGGTCAAACGGCGCCGTCGTCCAATCAGCGATGTCTCATGTTTCCCACTGGTACCTACCTTTTCCGGTAGGTTAATGTAATTGTGTTTTCCTTAATGTAGTTGCGCTTTGCTTTATGTAGTTTTGTTTTTCTTAATGTAGTTGCATTTTGCTTTATGTAGTTGCGGTTTCCTTAATGTAGTTGCGCTTTTAGATTTGTAGTTTCAGTTTGCACTTCAGGGCCACCATAAATATGGCATCCTTCCTGCATAGTGTCACCAACTTAAAAGCATGTTGACCAAGTAGGGAATTTCCAACAAGGTGTTAGCTCCTTAACGTTTCACTATTATAGAGACAATTTATAAAGTTGAGGTTAGTTGAGAATTTCTTGGAGATCTATTAAATTCAACTCAGTTTATTTATATAGCCCCAACTCACAGTTCATCAGATCATCCAGTCAAATTGATTCAAAGTTTTCTATCCAAGGAAAACCAGTAAATTGCATTGACTCATTGACTGGAAACATGATCTTACGATAAAGTTATTTTTCAATTACTTTTTTTTCTTAATCTGGCTAATTATTTTGAAAATAAAGACTGCCTTTATTTTATCTGAACAGTTCTTTAGCTAGGAATATGGTAAATACTCTCTATGAATCTCAGACAGTGTAAGTTTTAATTAAAAAAAATAAAAACCCCAGCTACATAAAATCTTCTCAAAAACAGCTAAAAAAAACTGTTTTATTTTTAGTTTTTTAAATAACAGACGCTATTCTAAATTCCACTGAATTCACACAGTGCCCATTGAAGGAAGCCAAATGACATCTGCTGTACTTGTACAGGGAATTATCCCTCTGCTTGGTATTCTGCCCTACAATCCCACTCATCATTGTTTCTGGTCACCGCTCTGGATGACTGAGAGGAGCAAAGATGCAGTGAGAATGGGTGAGCCAAGCAAAGAGAGTTTGTAGACAGACCCAAATGCCTCCAACCTGCCTTTGTTTTCAGCCCTGGCTCTCCTGGGAGACTTTGACGGACAGCTCTCTGTATACCAGTCTATTATGTGATTCCTATCACACAA